ATCAAGACCGAATCTTGGGTTAGTTTCATGTATTAAGTTTTCAAATTCACAAACTCGTGCAAATGAAGTACCTAACTATATTAGTTCTTAAATTATAATTGTTTAATATTTAAATTCTCCATAATCTATTAATCAAAACGATTTATATTTAAACAATGATTGACATTTTTTGAGTTTTACTAATTGCGAAATTTATATCAAATGTCTAACTATTGGCTTAAATGAATTATTTGAAAATATGTTCCAATATCAATTCTAATTTGTTTATACATTGAGGGGCTGAAAATATTATATTTCGAAAATGAAGGAACCCAAGATTCTTAAATATAAAAATTGCATATATGGATTTTAATAAATCATTTATAAATAACACTAATATGAGTTTGATGTACAATTGAAAAATTCATAAGAAAAAAGTACAATGGTTAGTGAGTTGCATCCAACCATCATTAAAAATAAAAAGTAAAATTTTCGGATTAAATCGATTTATTTTGATTCTAGGTATTAGAATCGAAACCCGTACCGATCGATTCTTTATTTTAATACCCAAAATCGACTAAAATTTGGATGAAATCAGATTGAATCGACTAGTCCGATTCTTATTGAGTCCAATGATTCTACTAACTTTTGCCCACCTCCAACCCTCGGTAATTTAAGAAATAACAATCTACACGCCCCCAGGGCACATCTCCAAGTGGTAAAAGGGGAGAGTGGAGAAATCCAGTTTTGCTTGAGGCTGCTGCGTCAAGGGTTCGAATGCTGAAATATGAATTTGGTTCTTGGGTAAGTGCAAATGTACAAGCAGCCTTCCACCCTGTACCTTTGGAGGCATAACCTGCGATTTACCTCCCTCACGATACTCCAGGGTAGGGGTGGTAGGGGACCCTTAAGGTTGGGGTTCAACCTTTTTTAGAAATAGCAATCTACATCCTAAACCTAAACTTATATTTAAACGTTTGTATATTTAATTAGTAAAAAAAAATAAAAAAAATCAAAAGCATTTGTTAATAATTTACAATAATTGAGCATTAAATAAATCTAAAATAAAATTCAAATACTTGTTAAATAGGTCCCTATCATCCTAGACCTAATTTATAACATTTGAATGTCTTCTTTTTAATAATAAAAATTTCCAAAGCCAATTTTACAATAATAAATTATTATAAATGAACTTCAAATAATTTTTAAATGGTCCCATTGATGTTGCTACATTCGAGTTTATCCTCGAAGTTTTAAATATCCAATTAACTTTGGTCAAAGCACGTAACCTAACTCTCATGTTGGTTGCAATGTTTCATGTACAAACACTGCAAATTACGATGAAAGTTGTCAGCGTTCTCCGATATGCTAGTGTAATTTTCATTATTTAAAATACGTTTTTCTTTTTATTTTTTTTAATTACATATTCTTCGATAAATAATATTATGCAAATCAAAAAAATTTCTTATTTTTGGACTGCACATTCTCCATCAATTTACTATTTTAAAATACATTCTTAGAAAAAAAATTTCAAACAAGCACTAATAAGTAATATAAGTACTCGCTATTTAATGATATTCTCTATTCTATTTAATGATATTCTCTATTCACTCCATAAAGATAAATTTACATATACTTTCACACAGATTGAGAAAATTTGATTACTATAGTTGAAATAATAGATTTTAGGTTAAGTGCCTGTTTGCGGGGCATTTTTCCAAAAATGAAAATGAAATTTTCAACCGTTGGACTCACTTCTCTACACAAATTGTGAGAAGTAAGTCAAACTTGTCATGTCAAGTCAAGTGGGGCTCAATAACGGCTCTTTTTCTTCTAAAAATGGAGGGAAAATGGAAAACAAACATAGGCTAAATATACCCAAACGATTTTAATAACTATACTACGTTTTGATTCTATAAAAGGTTCATAACCTTTATTCATTGTCACAATTATGTCTCAAATTTTTTTCTTCATCATAGTCTTATTTTCAAATTAATATAAATTGTTCCTGATTATGATTTCTTTCCAACATTTTCTTTAAGATAGAGTAAAAAGATTAATTTGCCAATATGTTTTTAAATAAGAAAAACAAAGCATGCATTTCAGGCCATGATTGGGTGTATGCGACCGCATGGCATGAACTGCATAGTTAAGCTAACTTCCAAATTATGTCGTTTTGGTCCTCGACTTTATTTATTCATATCTTTGCCTTTTTTCTCGATTCTTCTCTTTCCATCGAACCAAAATAGCTTTGAATTAGTGCTTGGTTCATCCAATTCCTCAATTCACCTTTTGGATAATCTTTCGTCTTATTTACATTTTGGTCCCCAAACTTTCATTCTTTTCCATCTTGGTCTTTCTTCTTCATTTTCTTCCTTCTATCATCACATATTATCCCCGAATTGATACATAGGCCATTTGTGTTTTCAATTCGCATTTTGCTTCAACTTTTGATTATTTGTAATTTAGTCCCTGAACTTTCATTTTGGCCCCCTTTTTGGTATCTTTTCTCTTGAATTTCGTCACATTCATCAATATAATCCTACAAAACAAGATTTGATAGATTAAGTCACATTCCACTATATTTATTAGGATATAGTTATAATTTGTGGCTTGAATAAGTATGTAAAACACACTTATCAAATTACACAATTTTTATCAACTTTTCAACAACACATTTTATTAACTTCGATCAAAATATACTAAAATTATGACTTTTAGCAATTATTGATTACCTTTTTCACATTGAGACATGCATGCTTGGAGTTGAGGATGTCAAATGGAGCAAACCACTTGTCGGCTCGCTTGCGAGTGAGTCGAGCTGGCATTTTTTGAGTGAGCTACTAACACGAGTTGGCTCATGCGGGGTAAGCCAAGCCAACTCATGTTGTAGGTCGAGCTAACTTGACTCGATCATTAACAACCTCACTCAGATCTTATTTAGTTATTTAAATGCAATTAAATTTTAAAAAAGACCCATCTTCTACACTATACACACACACACTCACTTGTCATAGTACAACGATGTTACAAACAATTTTTCAATCATGAGCTTGTATGCACGAACTTAGCTTAGTGTGCTAGTAAACGTGTACTATTAATAATAGATATAATTAAACGAATGGAATTAAAATCTCATTCGCGTCCCATACCAAATGTGCTTTTTAATTTTAATTCCAACACCCTCCATATCAAAGTACTACATAATTGAAATTTTTGAAAAATAACCAAAACACTATTCATAAGTTGATAGTTAGTGAATAAACTATCAAAAAATAACCCACAAGTTACATTTATCGCATCCAAACATTGGGGACAAAAGAAGAAAATAATTTATTTATTTATTTTTACTTGACTTGTATATACTCTAGAGACTACGAACAAATATAGAAATAGAGAAAGCACAACATTTTCGACGTCGATTACTACCTCATTTTATTTCCCACAAATGAAAGTTGTGAGAAGGATGGTAGCATTCTCCATTTGATACATATTGAAAAGTCAGGTTAACCAGGGATGTTAGCAAATCATAAAACGTATGACATAACTTGGTTTTGATTGTTCAAGATGTTACAATTACTTGATTCGAGTTGACCACTCGAGTCAACAACGTTGTTTCATTCAATTTAGAGAGAAAAAAGCAATAATTTCCCATTATAAAATGTTTTAGATACAAGAATAAGTTATACCCAGGTTTAGTTTGTGTTGATTTTTTTTTTTTTTTAAATAAAATCAAATTTCCTTAATTGGTTCAATATAAAAGAAGATTTTGTAGATCACCCTTTCATTTTATCTCTCTCTTCCTTCGTTCCTTTTTTTAACTACTCATTAATCATTCGTTTTTTTAATTGGTATGTAATAAATTAAAAACTTTGCTTTATGCAAAATCACATCACTAAATAAATCTTACTTTATGAGATTCTGATTTGAGAACATAGAATTTTTCCTGAGATGTTAAGCAAAGACAGCTTTGTATTTAAATATGCTTATGCAAACTCACTAGCCATTTTTCAGGGCAACTCTTCTTCTTCTTCTTCTTTTTTTTTCCTCGGGACAGACGACAATATTTTAATTTTTAAAGAGAAAGTTAATTCGTTTTTATATTTATTTAGTTTTAAATTTACCATTGTTAACCCTTAACAATACTCCTCAATTCATCTTTATCATCAATTTTATTCACCCACCCATTTGTCCTCGTTAATGGCAGAGTCAAGATTTTCAAGTAGAGAATCGAAATATATATATGAATGATGGAACAAAATGTAAATGGATAAAATTCATTCCTACGTAGATTTAAAAAAATTCAAATTGTTGCTAAGCGATCGCCAACCCACCTCCCGCGACTTCGCCTCCGATCCTGTTCTTTCCCCTTGCTCATTTTTGTCCGCTACAATTTTTCATTTTCTCTCTTTGTTCTTCGATAAAAATTCATTTTCTCTTTGCAAATATGCTATATCTTGACATACATTATAATCAAGATATTGATTTTTGCAGATAATTTAAAATACGATATTTAACGCATTTTCAATCTTAACAAAAAACTTCATGAGCAAGGACAACAAAATGTGTCGAGGGACGGAAATTCGTACTCTTTTCTATACTCAACTTATTATCAAATAATGTAATTTCTTAATTTTATGCCATCCAACAATTACATATTGACTTGTTTGACTAAGCTTAAAATTATAAGGACCATGTTATATTTACATCCACTTTCTTATCTAATCTTTTACCTACACTCACAATAGGAAGGTGGGGTCCACAGTTCGGAATTTTTAATTGTGTGTGGGGCCCGCACGAATGTGAGAGTAGGGCATCGGTTCGATCATCAAGATTCGGTACATATAGTTTAATTCAAATTACAAACTGAAAACCTTACATCCTCTAAAATGAAAAAGAAAATTCATGATCTTGTTTATCAGATCATAAATGTAATTAAAATTAATGCAAAATAACTGAACCTGACACTGATTATCTTACAACAAAAGTATTTATTATCTTCCCCATTTCGTGACGTCTATATACAGATAGATATATACATCTCTCTCTGTCCGTATATATTTTATACTTCGTGAACCCTCGCAGCTCATATTTTTTTATCTCTTTGCATCTCTACAGTTCATTCTCTCTCTTCCCCTCTCTCTCTCTCTCTCTCTCAGTAAATATCAGTTAACGCGTGGCTTCTCGAAAGCCTCGGATCTAACTCTGAGCACAAACAAAGAGGAACCCAGAAAGGTAAAATCAAGAAAAAGGGGGGAAAAACCCTAAAAAGTATATGTCAACTTATCCAATCTCCATACGTGTATGATACATACAAATTAGTTTACTTTCGTGTTTATTTACATGCTGAAGTGAATTTCAGTTATTTATTCAGTGAAACGTTCCTTATTATTTTGAAACAATTTCAGATCCATCGCAGTAAGTGTTAAATTTAGTGTGCGTGGACTTTTTTTGGGTTTTGGTCTGTAAATTCAGCTCCGGGTATAGTCTTTTGGCTTCCGGGAGCTTTTGTGTAAAAATCTAAGTCTTTCTGGTTTTTGATGTTGTTTAAGTGATTTTGGTTGCGTAATTATTCATGTTCTGAAGATATGGTGGATTTGCTGCGTGGTAACGTTTTTCAATTTGCAGTTTAAGTTTCAATTTTATTTTGGTTTGTTTCTTTTGCTGGGTTGATGATTTTTTTTTGAGGGTTTGTATTATTTGCCGTATGACTTGAATTCTCAAGTAAATAAACATAGGTATATGAATCTGCTGTTAGTTGTAGTGATTTGAGTTTAACTCGCCTTACACACACGAATATATGGTATTGGTAGGTTTTACTCTTATGCATAATCAAAGCTTTGATCCTTTTGGTTTTAGCTTATGGTAAATTCTGTCAGAGTCAAATTCTTATATGCCCATTCGACTTCTGATATGTTAATGTAGATGGTGATTTCCAACATCGTATGTTAGTTGACTCTATGTAATATTTGGAGTCACGGGGTTGGGATCACAAAATTAGATTCCTAGAACTTAATTTTTTTTAACGAGAAAGGAATTATTTCAAATTCGAATATTGAGTTTCCAAATGCCCACAAAATGTAGCCTCAGTAAATCTAAGTTTTACAATCGGGATTCTCAACTTTCTCGTAGTTAATAATCGGCTTTATATTTTCTTAAATACTATTGAATTTTTAGGATGATATCGGTTGTTGATATTCCCACTCTTTTGTACAGCATTTGAACATGTCATGATGCTCAGATCTTGATATAGTACTTACATTCTTGATATTACCTTAACATTTGAAGTTGTTTTATTGAATCAGGATGGTAAGTGCAGTTTGACGCTGGAGCATTTTAGCAGTGCCTATCCTTTCGAAGTTCTTGAGCAGAGATCACGATCTCTTTCTATAATATAATGAGATAACTGGCAGTCAGAAGCACGATTGAACCCATAGCTCTGCTCATTATCAAGCAAATAAGAATTTGATTAAGACAAGAAGAAGCTTTTTGGGGCTGGAGTGACATCAGTTCTAACTTGGGATGAAGGTGGTTTTAAATTGCTGTGTCTGCAGCTCTCATATGAATAACGGAATGATACTGGAATTTGTATGGATAAACATGTGCAAGATGTGCAGGTTATAGGTTTTGGTTATCTTTTGAATACTGGAGTTGCTAATTGATTTCATACAGGGCCTTTCTAAAGGTTGGAATGCATTGTCTGTTTGCAACTGGGAGTATATAATTACTGAGCTTGGTAATGTTTGGTCATTTTTCCAGCTATGCCGGAAGTGTGAACACCGAGAGGATAATGCTAATCTTTTATATTTGAATAATTACAAATGGAATCCGAGACTTTGACCACAAACCATAGGTCAAACATTCTTCAGCGGGTGCTTGCTTCTGCTGTACCTGTGGTTTGGATTGCTATCAGCTATGTAGACCCTGGGAAGTGGGCTGCAACTGTTGAGGGGGGAGCTCGCTTTGGTTTTGATGTGGTGTCACTCATGCTTATATTTAATTGTGTCGCAATTCTGTGTCAGTACCTTTCAGCTCGTATTGCTGTGGTCACTGGCAGGGATCTTACTCAGGTATTCATTTACCTTCATCATTTTATCGTGGAAGAGGTGCATAAATTATTTTTGAGCGTGGACAGCTTTAGTGATTATAGATTAAGAATTTGCAGATATTGGGAAATGAGGAGTTGACTAGAATGAGCCTTACATGATTTATTATACTGACTATGGTCTGTTAATTGAATTTTAAAAGTATTTGATTAATTACCAAGAAAAATAGTCATCTCGTGGAAGTGTTTGTTTTCTTCAATTTTGAACCCCATAATGATCAGACTAAGCTTACATTTGACTAAGAACTGTTTATATTCCTTCTTCTGGTGAAATGTTAAAATGCGTTCCCATTCTTTATGAGCTTGTAATCTTAAGAGCTATGAGATATTTTCTAGGGGTACATAATGTACTAGATTGTGCAAGTTATATTTTTCTCCTAATAATGTATTGGTATTTAGAGTTTGACTGGTCTCCCTCCTCTTCCCTCCCCTCCCCCTGCACTCTTCCAATTGAATGTTCATTTACTTTTATACCTAAATTTTATGCATTATTCTGTTTAAGAGTTTCTTATTTTACATAAATGTTGAACAATACGTTAACTGATTGTCTCTGCTGTTGTCAAAGATATGCAGTAAGGAATATGACAATATAACATGCATATTCTTAGGAGTTCAAGCCGAGATCTCGATAATTGCATTGGACCTCATGATGGTGATTTTACTTTTTCTTAAATCCATTTGATGTTAGCTATTGCCTATTCCACTATCTTCTGTCCTATTAATTATATATTTAACTGATTCTGGTAGGTTCTGGGCACTGCTTACGGACTTAATGCTATCTTTGGAATTGATCTATTTAACTGTGTTTTTTTAACGGGCATTGATGCCATTCTATTTCCATTTCTTGCTACTCTCCTTGTAAGTTTTCCTGATTGCATTTTGTTACAATTTTTAAAGCGTCATCAACGCAAATTTGAATAGTATTGTGACTTCATCAATATGGTTCCAGCAGAATAGCAAGGCGAAGTTCTTATCCGTATGCTTGACAATCTTAATTCTACTATCTTATGTTTTTGGAGTTCTGATAAGTCAACCGGAAAGCTCATTTTCCATGGGTGGGATGCTTACAAAGTTGAGTGGGGAAAGTGCATATGCCTTGATGAGTCTCCTTGGAGCAAGTATAATGCCTCACAATTTTTACCTCCATTCTTCTATTGTACAGGTCTTCTCTCTCTCTCTCTACACATGTGCGTGTGCGCTCTTTTGCTCTTGTATTCTTGCATGTAATCTATTTTTTGGACTCATGTTTGCTGCACTTGGCAGTACTTGTATGCTGTGGCAGTGCTTTCAATTACAGGGTTCTTTAGAAAATTATTCTGCTACGATGCTTGTACACCTTCATAACTATTTCTTCAATATGGGCTATGGAAGTAGAAATATGATCATTGTAAATCACTGAATTGTATTTGTGTCGCTCATTCCCCGAAATTTTTTGTGTACTTCTCCTTCATTTTATTTTCCTGATTGATATTTTTCTCTGAATTGTTATTAAGTTGTCAATTTGAGAAATTTTGTGCATTTGACATATCGACTTCATATCATCATATGATTACTTACACCTGTGCACACTAAGAGTTAGTGATAGGTAGAGTGGTCTGACAATAATTTGTTTTAATGATTTTTCTAATTGACGTCAAGCTTTTGCAGTCAATAACACTTTTGGGTTAGTGGTGCCTGGGGTGCATGCGCGTCTTTTCTCATTTATTCGTCTTTTATGTTGGTTATTTCTTCTTTACAGATTAAAGAACTCTGCTCTTTTTTTCATCATTCCTTTATTTTGCAGCAAGATCAAGGGCCAGCTACTGTTTCTATAGGGGCCTTGTGCCATGACCATTTTATTGCCACTCTGTGCATCTTCAGTGGCATTTTTCTGGTGAACTGTATGCTAATGAACTTGGCAGCTAATGTGTTCTACAGTACAGGCCTTGTTTTGCTCACTTTTCAGGATGCATTGTCATTGCTGGATCAGGTTGAGGTTGGATATGCGAAATATTATTTTGCCTATCAGCTATATTCAGTTGTTGTTTTCTTATGTTTACATTCTAATGGAAATCTCTTAACAATAACGCAGATATTTAAGAGTTCAATAGCTTCATTTTTCTTGGTTCTGCTAGTGTTTTTCTCTAATCAAATAATGGCACTAACATGGAGTCGGGGTAGGCAAGTAATTATTCACGATTTCTTTGGAATGGACATTCCTGGTTGGCTTCATCGTGCAACCATCAGAATAATTGCTATCATTCCGGCCCTTTATTGCGTGTGGAATTCAGGAGCTGAGGGTATATATCAACTCCTGATCTTTACACAGGTTATGGTTGCTCTTCTTCTACCATCTTCTGTTATTCCTCTATTTCGCATTGCTTCATCCAGATCAGTTATGGGTGCTTATAAGGTTTCTCAGCCGGTTGAGTTTTTTGCTTTAGTTTCGTTTATTGGGATGCTGGGGCTAAAGATTATTTTTGTCATAGAGATGATGTTCGGCAATAGTGACTGGGTTAATAATTTGAAGTGGAGCATCGGGGGTAGCTTGCCTATGTCTTATCTTATTCTTCTGGCCACGGCTTGTGTCTTTCTCTGTATGATGCTTTGGCTGGCAACTACTCCATTGAAATCTGCAAGTCAGGTGCTGAACTGGGAGGTCAAATTTTCTGTGCCCGAGGCATCTGCTCAGAAAGATCAGATAGAAATTAGTGAAGCCCAATATCAAACAGAAAAGGGTACAGAAAAGCAAGTGCCTGCAGTGTTGGAAAAATCTTTTGGAAGCCATCAAAACATATCAGTTCCAAGTCCTGGGCTATCGACTGAAATGCTGTTGGATTCTGAAAGTAATCTTCATTTGCCCACAATTGGGAAGAATAACTCTGAAATCACATTATCAGGTCCTTCTGTGTGCTCTCCTGAGGCGTCTGCCACCACTGGAGAGACAGTTATGGCTAAACCTATTTGCAAGGTTCCTGAAGATGAATCTATTGATGCCATCACCTTCAACGCTGAATCAAAGGACACAGTGGAAAAGACATTGACTACAGAGGCAAGCAACCAGAATGAGATGGATGATGAAGGAGAACCTTTGGAGCCTGACGAATCAGCTAAAGATGTTTCTGAAAGCATCCAGTCTTTGACATCTGAAGGTCCAGGATCATTTAGAAGTCTTAGTGGAAAAGGTGATGATTTGGGAAGTAGTTCTGGAAGTCTATCAAGATTAGCAGGATTAGGCCGCGCTGCAAGGCGCCAACTGACTGCAATTCTTCTTGAATTCTGGGGGCAGCTGTTTGATTTCCATGGGCAAGCCACTCAAGAAGCCAAGGCTAAGAAACTGGATGTTTTACTGGGGATTGATTCAAATGTAGATCCGAAGTCTTCCTTTGCATCAGTTAAAGGCGAAGGCATTGCTAGAGAGTCTACTGGATATTCTTCAACTATGGGTGGAAGAGGATCTGACTTGAGAACATCTAGTCTTTACAGTTCTCCCCTTCAACAGATTGGACATGGTGGTATGGAGTCCTCTCTTGGGGTTCAGCAGGGGTCACCTATGCGGTCATCCCACATGCAACTATTTGATGCATACGTGCAAAGCTCCAACCACAATGCACTTGACTCTGGTGAGAGGCGTTATTATAGTATGCACGTTCCAGCATCTTCTGCTGTCTATGATCAACAGCCGGTCACTATTCATGGTTATCAATTGGCTTCCTATCTCAGTCAAATGTCTAAAGAAAAAGATTCTGGCTATTTAAATGCTCAATTGGAATCGGCAAACCAGAAGTCCTCACCATCGGTCAAATCAAACTATGTAGATTCATTTGCTCGTCCCGTGAAACACAGGCCACAGAGCGGGTTGAGCACTATCAGGCCACCTGGTTTTCATAATGTTCCTGTTTCTCGAAACAGTTCATTGAAATCTGAACGTGCATTTCACGACCTTTCCTCTCCTGAACCTGTGGATTACACTAATAGCTCAGTCAATGTGAAGAAATATTACAGTTTACCTAACAGATCAGGACTTCATATCCCTCAGCAAGACTATTCAGTGTCTGGTAACAGCTCTCAATGGAAGAATCAGGTGGGATATGAGCAATCTATTAGCCGCTTAGCACCTGTGCAAACCTGTTCCAGCACTTCTTCATGGGCTGGTACGGCTTTGGGATTTGGTGAACTCTCTCCCTCAGAAGTCCGCAGAGATGCTTTTTCCTTGCAATATGCTTCAAGTTCAGGGGCTGGTTCCTTGTGGTCTAAGCAGCCTTACGAACAATTTGGTGTGGCTGATAAATCTCCTGCCAAAACTCAAGAATCTGCGACAACGATTGATTTGGAAGCAAAGCTCTTGCAGTCTTTCAGAAGTTGCATTTTAAAGCTTCTGAAGTTGGAAGGATCTGACTGGTTGTTTAGACAAAATGATGGAGCCGATGAAGACCTTATAGATCGAGTGGCTGCAAGGGAGAGAGTCCTGTATGAAGTTGAAACTAGGGGTTCAGACAGGAAGCCTGGTTCTGGAATAAAGATAGACGAAACAGACTACATGAAGTTGCTGTCGATTCCTCATTGTGGTGATGGATGTGTTTGGAGAGTAGATCTTGTTGTAAGCTTCGGGGTATGGTGCATTCACAGGATTCTTGATCTTTCCCTCATGGAAAGCAGGCCAGAACTCTGGGGAAAATATACATATGTACTCAATTGTCTTCAGGTAAATGCTATTCTTTTCTTTTTTCCATTTGTACATTTTTTAGTTCTCATTTCACTCTTAATTTTTTTGTTACTATTTTGTTCCTCTTACCACTTTTTTACCAAATAGAAAATCAGTGATTTCTGCTATTTAATTTCCCTTTAGATCACTCGCTCTGCAAGGAACATGTATTTTTATTGTATGAAGCTCGTGATTATCCAAAATTGTTATATAAAAACTAAGAAGTTTTTAACGGTTGAGTTTGTGATGGGGTGTTTGGAATAGGGCAGGTATTGTTGCTATATGATACTTGTTTGGTGCTTTAAACGACTTGACCTTTTGCAACATTAAATCTCTATTTTTAAACTTCTTGAGAGATTTATTTCTCAAACAGAGGTTGTTTAAGAAGTTGCTGTTTTATCGAGAAAATTAAACTTTGAAGTGCATTTGGCTAGAGACGGTAAAGGGTTTTCGCATTCCCTTCCGC